CTTGATTTGACTCAGTTTTTTTCTTGTTTTCACTCATTTACAGGCCAGCGGTCACTCTTTCAGAGATGAGGATGTTCTCATTCTTGATAGGGAGGAACGTTGGTTTGAGAGAGGAGTAAAATAAGCCATTTTTGTGAAGAAAGACCGTCCATCATTAAACAGAGGTGGGGGCCTGCGTTTTGAGCTGTCCCCCTCCTACAGCGCTGCCATTGGCAGTATCTCTTCACCCCCTGTTAATAATAGGTATTAATTAGGTGTGAACGATAGCCATGTGATGTGAGTATCYGTCACCTGTGAYRGATAGCCATYTYATGTGAGTATCAGTCACCTGGAGGCAGGACTCAAAAGCCTGAATTTTGCCTGAAACTCTCAGACTGAAGAAGTCTCTTGGAAGAGAGACGAAATGTTTCATTAAAGAAGAACCCGTCCAGATGACCTATACAATTTTTTTCCTTTTGATTTTTTACCTGGATTACTGAGATGCATCAGGACATTATAACATGATAAAAAAGTTGATTTTACATGATATTGCCCCTTTAAACTCATCTATGTAAACAGAATTGAATCAGAGTACCAAGTTGACATGACATAGTAGCTAAAAATATTTTTATATAATAGAAGTTGTTAAAACTTTTCTGCTGAAAACGATTTATCTTATAGACATAATGTATTTGCATTTATTTGCACTTATATCAGAGTAACACAATCATGATTTTATCCAGAAAATTTCAACACAGGTTTATAGGAGACTTAACTCCTCCTGGAAATTAAGTTTAATAAAAGCCAATAAACTCTAATGACTTGATGATGTAGAGACTGAAAGGTTCTTGCATCATTGAGACATAATGTGAGCTGAAGATTGATGGGATGGCACTCTTACAGCCATCCTCTATTGTCTTTTTGCTGGCAAGTTGTATATCCCTGCCAGCAAACCTTCTACGTGTCCCTGTAGAAGGTTTCAGAAGATTTAGATGAGATGGCAAAGCTGCTGGAAACACCTCCCAATCACACTCCCACTGGGCCTTCCATCAACAGCAACATTACTCTATAAGCTTTTTATCATCAGAGTACCGGAGGTGGTTCTTTTAACAGGAGACATGCTTTGCTTTAAGGTGCAAAAGGAACGATAACGCTGCAGTGGTTAATCTGAAATTAAAAGCTGTGTATGGAGCATGTGTAAAATATGAAACAAACACATTTAACCTTATAAAAGACAAGATCAGTGTTAACCCTAAATGTATACATGCATTTAAAGAAATCCATCTCTTGCATTCCAAAAAGAGCACAAAAGAGCACTAAATCACATTTTTCATGAAACAAAACTATACTATCAACAAACAATTTTTTACAATCTCACATGATTGTTCTTGTTATTCAAGTAAAACAAATCTGCTACAGTTTGGTTTTGCTTTTATTGGATCCTGTCCCCATCAGATTGAGCTCCACACCAATGTCACTCTGATTCATGAGTTTGTGCCTGCTGTCGCTTCAGGTTTATGGCTCATATTGGCAAGCCATTTTTTCCACACATTCAAAGCCATTTTAACCCCTCCCCCCCACAGCTTGAACCATTTATGCCTGCATGAATCAGCATCCCCCTTTTAATTTTTTAACAAATTGAAACTGACGCATTTTGTTGAATTCAACAGAATGAATGAAAACATACTGTACCTTCACGTCTACATCTTTCCATCATCAAGACTCACTCCGTTGCTTCACCATTTTCAGTGTTTTTATTTTCCTTGATGTGCAGCTCTGTGTAAAACAGCTGCTGTATGCCTGTACTTAAACATGTATGCCGACTCAGTTCAGGCCTGTGGCTCGGATTTAACTGCTGTGTAAATCTAAGCAGCACTTAAAAAGTGCAGCACTACCCCCGATGCTCCACAGAAGCATTGGCTCGCAGTGACAGCACCTGTCTGTGTGCAGCTGCCACACAGCACCATCCAACAACCTCAGAAATAATGTTTTAATCACTGAGATGCAACAAACCAGCCTGATGACAGCACTCATCAACTTTTTTTCCTTGCTTGTGAGTAGAACTTTACATGAATATTCCTGCCAAGAAGTTGAGGTGCAGTGGGTGCTGCAGTGCCCACTGATAAATGCCAGAGGACATCCGTACATCCATCCCTGCATCTTCCTTTAGGATCAATGGTGCTGAACCCTCATAAAATTGTGTTTCAAATTTTGTGGACTCTTTCACAAAAAGTTTTTACAGGATGTGGCAGGTGCCCTTTGCCCACCCTCCGCCGAAAGTGCAGCATTTACATGGTCTGTTTACTGTTACATTATGTGTATCATCACTGAGCATTATCTGTAGCTGCTCACTGTTTAGCTCTCTCTATATTTATGCCACCCAAACACGCTACACTTTTTAAGTCTTCTTCCAATCAAACGAAGCATAAGAAGATTTTTAAGACACTCCGGGAGAAGGTTAAATACTTCAGGAATAAAAAAGTTATGTCATTACAGAATCAAGAAAAAACAGTTTGCTACATTAAGAACCAGACAGCGGTGCAGAATACCATAAATCTGTAAATCATCATTTTTGCAGAACAGTTAATATCATTCATTTTGGTGAGTACCCATACATTTTACAGTATTTTTAGTGAATTAATTTTAATTTATACAGTATATTTTATGTATTGGGAGCACATTTGGGGCTTAAAAAACTGTATTTATTTGCCTTTTTTGGACTGTGTCCAATATTTGTGTTTTTTCACAAGAACGTAACCCACATGAAAATCTGTGGATTCACAATACCTGAAAAGCCCATGCATGCAAGGAGAGAACATGCAAACTCCATCCAGGAATGTCCCCAGCCATCATTTCATCAGGCAACTTTCAGGTCTACCTTCTGCGCCATCATGTAGCCAGCCAGAGGACACCCAAATGCATAGGTAAAGAACTTGCAAATAAAAAGAAAAATATCCTTAGTTACAAACAGCATACAGATGCCCATATTCACTTTCATATGCATTTGGCATTATACTGTAATTCAGGGTTGCACATAAAATTTTTGGTCTGGTTCTCAGGGGAGAACCTAGGATTGTTGTGTAACGGAGTTAAAAATATACTCTAACATAATCAGTAACCCCACTGTTTTCATGTTTTGTGAATTTTATTTTATTGAGGTCTTTTATTTTGAAAAGTATCAAAGCGGTAATGATGCGTGCACCCTGCTCCTCCAATAGTTTAGTTTCCCTCACTTTGCTGCTGAGCACTGCGAGGATAAGAAGTGTTGAAATGTTGCTGCTGATATTTTATATTTTTCATTGAAATTCTAACTATTTAGGTTGTGCACTTTTCATCATCCTGTTGGTATAACGTTTTTCAACATCATTGTAACATTTATTTTTCATTTTGACCGCAAATGTAAGTTTTGTAGGCACTTTATTTTCCTTGTGAGAGCTAGTTTGGTGCCATCTTTTATGTAGTGCACCCTCTGGTGAACTGTAATAGCTAGGGTGTGCCGCCATTTCTTTTAGCAATATTTATTTGCACATGTAGGAGCCAGAAGTGCAGAAAACAGAAGACAAGTGACCTGTTTGTTTTGTTGTCTTCTGCAGGTATGTGATGTTGCTGTTTTATTCATGTATATGAAAGAATGTTAGCTTTTCATGTCAGCTTTTCATTGTTCTAGACTGCCCAGTAGATGGCGCTGTTGTTCTTTTATTGTACTGGTTTTATTGTATTTTTAGAAAATGTTATGCTTTGCTATTTTAAAAGAAAAAAATATCACTTTTCTGCTCTGTAACCTCCAAAATGAAGCATAAATGCTAGATTGTGAGGCTCACTTTGCTGCTGAGCACTGGGAGGGAGCCAGAAGTGCAGAAAACAGAAGATAAGTGACCTGTTTGTTTTGTTGTCTTCTGCAGGAGAGAAAATAAACATTGGAGAAACAGTATTCTGACGCTCTGTCTTGTGTCCAAAAACAAGCATCGTTACACTGGTGCCGTGACCTTTGGGATCTTCAGACCAGCTGGATGCAGGTCGCCGTGGATGCTGTGCTGCTCTCCTGATCTGCGCTTCAAGTTTAATGTGCGGTTGGTCATATAACGGGCTGAAAAATGAAAGTTGTATCTTTAGCTTTCATTATTACGTTTGTCATTTGAAGTTAAAACACAATGCAAGTACTGTTCTCTTTTGAAAGTGATTTTCTTTTGTGAAATGAATATGTTCACTACACCTACATTACCTAAGGGTAGAGGTGCCTGGCTTAGTTCTGTTGCTAGTCAAAAGGAACATGGATCAATCCACTGTACTAGGGGGTTCTATGAACCTAAATCAGACCTCAYGTTTTACTCCTGTTGCTAAGAATGTGAGCGAGGGTCCTCATAATTCCACACCTAACAGTAATATCGATGTTAACAGTCTCACTGAAATTGTAGGGCAACTAGGTGCCCAGATTGGTGAATTTATTGTGACAAAACTGATGTCTACTGGTGTTGTAAACATGTCTGGTGGTCATCAGAGTACTTCTACTGACCAGAGTGGCACAAGTAGACATGACCTTCCAAATGTAACAGTCCACATCAAGCCAAATAAGGAACTTCAGTGTTACAGAGGAGATGGCACTGACAAATGTTTAATTCAAGACGGGATTGATATGGCTAAGACTTACCTCAAAAAGCAGGACATCTCTGTACAGGAACAGCCTGATGAGATTGTAAGTCACCTTATACGTAAAGCTAGAGATGTTGTAAAGATTTCCCTGCGTAGTGATCCAAGCCTTGATGAGACAGAAAAGCCTGAGCTGATCTACAGTGTCCTCCTACACTATTTTAGTGATGCTTCTGCATGTACCCCTCTTGCTAATTTTTATTCAACACTTCCCAGACCAAGAGAAAACCCAGTGGATTGCTAGATTAGGCTAAATAAAGCTGCTGAGCTGGCTCTTGAGGGTCTACAAAGACAAGGAAAGATAGCAGAAACCCTGAATGATGAAGCGGTTCTCATGTTTGTAAAACATTGTCCTGACCCTGAGTTATCCTACACTCTGAAATGCAAGCCAATCCATGAGTGGACAACTCGTGAGGTTCAACTGAGAATCAATGATTACCAGAGAGAGTTGAGGGCTGGTGGCAGAGCTGTTAACGATGCTCCGTTGAAAAGCCACACTGCTGCCACATCCTCTGAGCAGTACAGTAAACTTTCAGCTCTTGCTGCAGCACCTGTGGAGCACATTGTCCAAAACATGTCAAATGTCTCATCTCAAGCCCAGAATTGTGTGAGCAATCCCACTTGCCAAGCCTCTTCTTTTGTTAAAGGTGTTTCTGGCTGCCCTCCTGCCTGCATCTCCACCCCGGCAGTGTCACAGAATCTTCAGCAATCAGAGAACAGGCTGCTCAGTCAGATGGTCGAAATGTTCCAGAACATGATGGACAGAATGCAGCAGCATGATGTACATCCTGAGTCAGGGAGAAGGTTTCACCAGTCGACACGTAGCAGACGTCCAAAGGAGGATGCATGTAGGGTCTGCAGTGATAGGAATCACACTACCATTTCTCACTGCCTGTCTGAAAAGCTTTGTTTTGCCTGTCTTGCTCCTGGCCATGTCAAAATCTCCTGCCCAGCTAACAACTCGTCCAACACCCAGTCACAGGGAAACTAGCTGACCTGTATTTGGAGGGAGGCAGAATGGGTCTTAGTGGAAACTCCCAAAATGTTGATATTTCTGATGCAGAGTCTATTTATACGAATGTGAGAGAGAGAAATGTAAGGACTGAAGTTGGTTTTCAGAATGCTCACAGAGTCAGTAGCAGTGACAGTCTTTTCTACACCCCAGTTGTGTTTGGTGGGTCGTTGAAGCTAGGTGGTATGTTGGACAGCGGATCTATGGCCTGCAGCATTAACAAAGCAGCTGAAGAGAAATTACAACAGGCAGGTCTGATAACCAATGATAGTCAAGTCAACACAAATGTCACCCTTGTGGGTTGTGGTGGTCTGCGTGTAAAGCCCAAATGTGTTGTTAATGTTGAGATGGAGGTGTATGGATGCAAGATGGTGGTTCCCACACTGGTTGTTCCAGGGCAGCATGATGACTTAATACTTGGGACAAATGTCATAAAACACATTTTGCATCAATCCAAGGTGTGTGAGCCATATTGGAAAACCATCTCCAGTCCCTGCCCAGAGAAAAACCCTGAGACTGAAAGCTTCCTGTCTATGCTTTCTGGACTGAACCCTTGGAGAGGGACAGACGTTCCTGATAAAGTTGGCACTATCAAGTCTAACTCAGCTGTGTGTCTTCAACCAGGTTGTGAGTACCTGATCTGGGGTAAATTGCCTAAAAATGTTGTCATTTCCACAGGCAGTACAGTAATGACAGAACCCACGACTTCTCGTTCAGCTCCCAGAGGTGTTTTAGTTGCAAAGATCATAACTCCTCTGTGGGGTGACAGGTGGATTCCACTAAAACTCATTAACACTTCTGACAAGCCCGTGCTGTTGCACAGCACTTGAAGACCAGGATGTGTGTGAGCAAACAGCAACCTACTTGTCCAGTTGTTGTCAGTCTGCAGCTCCATCAACGCATGCCACTTCTGTGAGGAATAAGCTCCGGTTGATTGGACTTACTGATGTTGACATTGAGTCTTGTGAGACATCTGAAAAGTGTAAGGAGATGATGGCTGACCTTGTTTTGAAGTACGAGGACATCTTCTCACGACACCATCTTGACTGCGGCGAAGCAAAGGACTTTGTGCATCGCATCCATCTTTCAAATAGCAGACGTTTCAGACTGCCTTACAGGAGAGTTCCATCAAGCCAGTACCAAAAGTTGCGGCAAGTTTTGAGTGAAATAGTGGAGAGAGAGATTATCAGGAAGTCAACCAGTGAATATGCTTCACCATTGGTTCTTGTGTGGAAGAAGAATGGCGATCTTCGCATTTGTACAGATTTTCGCTGGTTGAACAAAAGGACCTTGAAAGATACTCATCCTCTTCCTCATCAGGTAGACTGTTTGGCAGCACTTGGAGGTAACTGTCTGTTTAGTACAATGGATTTAATATCAGGCTTTTATAACATGCCACTACATGAGGATGGCAAGAAGTACTCTGCCTTTACAACACCCATGGGTCTCTACGAGTACAACAGATTACCTCAGGCCCTTTGTAACAGTCCTGCAAGCTTTATGCGGATGATGACAAGCATTTTTGGGGACCAGAACTATTTGAGTTTGTTGTGCTATCTGGATGATTTATTGGTGTTTGCCCCTGACGAAGAGACAGCTTTGCAGCATCTTAAGATGGTGTTCGACAGGCTATGTAGCCACAACTTGAAGCTTGCCCCCAGAAAGTGCTTTTTCCTGAGGAGGTCAGTAAAGTTCCTTTGCCATATCGTGGATGAGTCAGGTGTGTTGACAGATCCAAGTAAGGTTGAGAGCATCATAAAACTGACAAGTACCAATCTCATGGAGGCTGATGGTGTGACTCCTTCCCAGAAAAAAAATTGAGATTCTTTTTTAGGGTTAGTGAATTGCTACCAGCACTTTGTGCCCAGATTCTCTGTTGTAGCCAAGCCGCTTTTTGACCTGTTGAAGGAAGGAAAAAGAAAGTTGAAGGGTCGAGCCAATGTCAAACTGTCTTACAGAAAGCTGAGTGCAGCTGGTTGGACAACCAAAGAAATGAAAGCTTTTGAGGACCTAAAGATGTCACTGGTCAATTCTATTGTTTTGGCTCATCCTGACTTCTCTTATCCCTTGTTGTTGACTGATGCATCTCAGGATGGCATTGGGGCTGTTTTGGCTCAGATTCAGGAGGGTGAAACTAAAGCCAGACCCATTGCTTTTGCCAGCAAGTCACTGTCCCAGTCTCAGAAAAACTACCCAGCTCACAGGCTGGAGTTTCTAGCATTGAAGTGGTCAGTCTGTGACAAGTTCAGTCATTGGCTCAAAGGTCATCAGTTCACAGTCTGGACCAACAACAACCCCTTGACTCACATCCTCACAAAACCAAAGCTTGACTGTTGTGAACAACGTTGGGTTGCTAAACTGGCAACTTATGACTTTGACATAAAGTATGTCCCAGGTCGGCAGAATGTTGTGGCTGAAGCTTTGAGTCATGTACACTTTGTTAAGGAGAGTGTGAGTGGCAAACTATTGTGGAGCCCTATGCAAACTTCCTCTCAAGTGCAAAGGATTTGTCACACACTTCTGTCCAGAATGCCTTCTTGTCATCAACTGATCGCAAACAGCTTGCTCCAGTGAATGAAGACACCCTTTCAGTAAAAATGTCCCAGCTGCACGTGTCCCCTCCATCTATAGACAAGGATGACGTGTCGGCTGTGTTGAAGTCACATGTTGAATGGGAAGCTGGTTCCAGGACTCGAGCTACAGAAATGCTGCAACAACTACCTCAGTTGCTTCCCCCAGGACAAGACACACTACCAGCTTACACTGAAAGAGAGCTGCGTGATAGACAAACACAGGATGCCACCTTGTCTCGTGTCTTGTTTTATGTTGAGACATCGCAAGCCCTCTAGGAGAGAGAAAACTAGTGACTCACCATCTGTCAAAAAATACCTGAGCCACTGGGAAAAGTTGACTGTGAATAATGGTGTGCTGTACAGAGTTTCCAGAGACCAGAGGTCCAAGAACAAACGTCTGCAATATGTTGTCCCAGATTCTTTGAAGGATGAGGTCCTGAAGGGGATCCATGATGATGCTGGTCACCAGGGCCAGTTCAGGAGCTTCAGCTTGACCAGGCAAAGGTTTTTCTGGCTGTACCTTGAAAGAGACGTTAGAGACTATGTGTGCAGTTGTCAGCGATGCCTTGTCAGTAAGGCAGTTGAACCTGAAGGGAGAGCACCTCAAGTGAGCATAACATCATCCAAACCGTTAGAGCTAGTTTGTATTGATTTTTGGTCTGCTGAGAACTCAAAGAACAAGTCGGTTGATGTACTGGT